GTGAGGGGGGTCGAGGGGTCAAGTGTGGGATCGGGCCCCTCTGAATCAGTACCTTGATCAGCTCCTTGATAGGAGTGGGTAGGCCTCTAGGATTCCCCCGGCGTGCGGAACATGGAGGCTACCGACGGGGTGAGCTCTTCTTTCCTTTTCTTCCCGCCGCCCATATTGTGGAGCCTGATGCTGGGTGGTCGCCTGGGGGCTGTTTGGAGGGTGTTTGGGCCGTGTGTGATGCGGATGATGGCTGATTCTGTGCCTGGGGGAGAGGGAGCTGTGGGATCAGGCGTCCATCTTCCTCCGAGGTTAGGCTCCGCCCTCGCTGCTATTTTATTTTATATCTTGTATGTAGTTTTTATTTTTATTGTTTCCTGTCTGCTTCATTGGATCTACCCTGAGGAAGTCCCTTTTTGTTGGACGAAACGCGTTGGATAGATATTTTTAGTTTATGTATGCTGCTATTTTATTTTATATCTTGTATGTAGTTTTTATTTTTATTTTTATTGTATCCTGTCTGCTTCATTGGATCTTCTATTGGACTCTCGTCTACATTGTTCTGGGAGTTCCATGTTATATGGAGATATGCCTGCTATTTTTCTTCACTTGTAAGTGAGACCAATAAATACTATTTTGTAATTCAATTACATGCTTTACTAGATTTGCTTTTTTATTCTTTTATATATCTCACGGAGGATCGTCTGTTCATAAAGATTGCTACCCTTGGGAGGCTGAGAAGCCTGATTTCATATTTTGTTTGTGAGTGCACTTATTTCCATTAGTATACCACTCACCTATTCAGTACTGTATTACGCTATGTTAGTCTTTTAATCTTCCATACAGATTCCGTTTATGAATCACAACCTATATTTCAGGTTATTTGTATTTGTTCTTATATTATCACATATTAGGGAGGTGTTTCAACTTTGTTTTTCAATTATATGTGTTTTAGGTGTTAGTGAAGTACACCTGGGATCTCTCCCTAATATATGATCTTTATATAATTTTGTATAGTGTGTATACTCTACTGTTTTGTCTGTAGCAGTTCAGCAGCCAGAAATCGGCACACCCCCAGTACCAAATCGATTTCCAAGCCCAAGAATGTAAGACAAGTTGAGGAGCCTGCCGCCATAGGAACTCCAAAACACTTGGCCACCCAGTGCAGGGTATGCAACAGGTCCCAGCACAGCTCTGAGGACCTCAGCCAAATGCACAGGACTTTTTCAGGGTAGTGAACACAGTAAATGCGTGGGATAGGCATAAGGCTATCCTAACTATAAGATAAGGCCAGGGACTAATGAAAGTATTTAGAAAATTGGGCAGACTAGATGGGCCGAATGGTTCTTATCTGCCGTCACATTCTATGTTTCTATGTGAACCATCAATTGAAAGCCAGCCTCTTCCAACACCACCCATTCCAGAAAGGAGCTGAACTGTTTGAAATAGGAGTAGGAGACAATATAGGAGCCTGGGCCTCTGGAGAGGAGTGTGCCGAACTTGCCCATCAACTGGGGAAAGTGCCCCCGGATGCCCCCCAACTAGCACCATGGGATTCTGCAGGAGTCCCACCGGACCTTGATTGGGGGCAAAGAGAGAAAAAGAGGACCTGATCACACACCTTGGTAATCTTGCTGCCTAATAGGACTGGATAGGAACTGGAAAAAACTAACCCCCTTTTGGACCTGCCAGGAAGGCCCCTGTCCCCCACAGTCAGCCTGTCTCCTTTGACCCCCTCTGTCTTTGGTCCCGATCCTGAATACTTGGGGAGACACAGCACCCTCCGCACTGACTTCAGTGCCCCTGATTTGTCTGGTTTAGCTCCCATCTCTTGGATGCTGGAAGGCCTCCCAGCCCTGATTCTGTGTTGCTGTCACCCTCCTTTCCCGGGTCACGCCCTCTTCACTGTCCAATCGGACAGATGCCATGCAGGCCCCGACTGGGCTGCATTTGACTCCTATCACCTCCTATGGCTTCTTAAAGGATCACCATAGGCACCCAGACCACTTCAGCTTAAAATCATCTAGGGTTAACCTATATAAACTGCTATGTTTATATATGTGTTAATCCAGCCTCTAGTGGCTGTCTCATTGACAGCCGCTAGAGGCGCTTCCGCGCTTCTCACTGTGATTTTCACAGTGAGAAGATGCCACCGTCCATAGGAAAGCTTTGTGAATGCTTTCCTATGGACTGACCGAATGCGTGTCCCCAGCGCAGAGGGATCCTGGCGATGGAGAAAGGTAAGATTTTAACCCCTTCCTCCCACTTCAGCCTGGCGGGAGGGGGGTCATGAGGGTGGGGGGGACACTATAGTGCCAGGAAAACGAGTTTGTTTTCCTGGCACTATAGTTGTCCTTTAATGGTCCACCTCTGAGGGTGGCCCACACGGGCTGCACCGGACCTGCAGGCACCTCTTCTCCCAGGGACCCCACCCAGGCCCTCATCCAGGCACTCCCCTTCCTTCTCACACCAACCAGGAATGGGTCCAGGTTCTCTTCCATCAGGGCACCCAACAGAGGACAAAAGTAGGAAAGAAAAGAGGGGAGACAGACAAAAGAACAAGAGCAAGACAAAACAGAACTCCAGAGGCAGTTTTTAAATCTAAAATGGCCACTGACACCTTAACTGCTCCCTACTTATAACCCCCTAACTTCCCACCCCCCCCCGACCTTCAACCTGAGAACTGCTAGCATAGCCCCACTTAGTCCCCTGTCAAGGCTCTCTATGGTCTATTGTGACCCCAGTGAGCCTCATTATTGTAGACTTGATAAATGGATGATTTCTTGAAAGTTTGGCATTAAAAAAAATGCTAATACTATGATAATATATTAATACACGTGTTTCATGCTCGCACCCGTGCGGCCAACTGTCACTTGCAAGACTTCTCGAGGGCAGCTCCCTTCCTTTGGAATAGCCTGCCTACCGCCATCAGACTCTCCCCTAAACATTTAAGAAGTGCCTTAAAACCCATTTCTTTAGGAAAGCTTATGGCCTCCCAGAGTAACCTCTACCTCACATACCTGTCTCTTGCTCTCTCCTAAAGGACAGCACTATACTCTCTCCTCCAGCTCCGCTTCACTCCCACCTTATTTGATTGCTATTTCCTGTCCCAACCTCCTAAAGACTGTAAGCCTGTTTGAGCAGGGCCCTCTTCAACCTATCGTTCTTGTAAAAAATTTTGTAATTGTACTATTTATAGTTAAATCCCCCCTCTAATAATATTGTAAAGCGCTATGGAATCTGTTGGCGCTATATAAATGGTGATAATAATAATAATAGTAATAATGTGTGAGAGATCCAGCTGACATTAGAAAATTTACAACACAATATGCAACATTTCACACACAAGTTACGCAGTGTAAATGATACACAGAACAGGCATACTACACTGGTATAGTTATAATGGTATTTATGTATTTTTAAAAGATTTTATGTATACTTGCATATCTAGTATAGGCAAAGGAAAATTGAGAGAGAATATTTATTATACCAGAAATGTCTATTCATTATGGAAGGGGAAGAGAAGGAAGGATATGCTTAGGAATTCTCTGCATACTGGCACTTGAGATGTAAATATCATCTCTTATCTATCTTAATACCCATATTCTAGCAATGAATTTTGTTCTCTGTTCAAACCTCAATTTCTATCTAACAGACTTCTCTAACACTGGAAGCTCTTTCAAGCCAGATGCTCATCGCCTCTTTTTATTTGCCTAAATTTCTGATCACTTTCTTCTATGTTCTGTCTACCCATGGTAAATAGCTATAGAATATAATAATAATAATAATAATGATAATAATATGTCAAATAAGCCAGCCACATGTATGAACTGCACAAAGAAAAAAAAACTAGATATATTAATTGGAAACTGGATAATTTGAAAACAAAATCATAGACAAACCCATAAAATGTTTATCCATTGTAATGGTAGAAAACAAAATATTGACAGAAAATGGGTAAGTTGGTAAAAGAAAACCCATGGTAGTGGTTATAGTGTAATTATATCAAGAATGCCTATGTTAAAACCTGTCAAACTGTTTTAAACATAGTTTGAAACTGACCTGGTTCCTGATGAGCACCCAGGTTACATCAGGTATTCTTAGAGATGGAGAAGCCAGATTTCATTTTTTCTTCAGTCAAAGAATTTGTTCTATTTATTCATTGGCTCAGAGTACTCCGCTGATGCTCTTACCCAATGAATGAACACCATCACTGACACCCATCTTCCATTATGCTGAGTTTTAGCTGTAACGGCTTGGTGCTCACACTTAGCTTAGATACCAGGTCTGCCAAAATGAAGGTTTAATCACTCTGCATGTAAGGCGTAAGTGAGGATTTCTCTCTGAGACTATGCTGTGTTTCTCTGTCTGTGCAAACAGGTTGGATGACGTTGACTACATATACTACACGTGTGTCTTCCTTTGCAGTTCTTTGTAGTGTGGCCTTTTCTTAAGCAACTGAAACAGAGGTGGTTTTCATAAATGAAGGCCTTATTTTCATCAATGGTCTTTGCTGCAAAAGTTAGACATTTAGCGATACCGTGTGTTTCATCCTTGCAGACTGGACAAAGTGCCTTTGGTCTTGAGGCTAAGATTTCTGACATATTGGAGGTAGAGGGTTTCATTTGAGTGTTCATATTAAGCGCCTTGGCTCTCTTAGGAAGTCTCTCATCTATAGTTTTGGTGTTGAGGAGAAAGTGAGAGGCAATGGGGTTGCATGCTATGTTTGCTTCTGTTTGCAGGAACTCTGTGAAACAAGCAAAGGTTGGATATTCTTGAGACTTATCTAACTTGTCCACAGCAATACAACTCCATCTGCGCACGTAAATACAGATGGTTCAGGTATAGGGAGACGGTTGGAGATGAGCAGACTTGCAAGTCCTGGAGTAAGACTAACCTCTTCTTGTGGTCTTGACACTTCGAGTGGTGTATTTGAAGGTTGAAATGGCTTGTGGATTTAATTAGGTTTGAGATTCATTGAATTGGCAAATGTATTGAATCTTGTGGCCTGTCTACTTTTTACAATCTTCAAGACCATCATAGGCATTGTGGGCTTTCACTCTTGCTGCAGCTACCTTGACTTCATTTTCTGTTTGTAGCTGTTGTAGCCTTGTCTTTTTCTCATCTAACTTCAGTTTAATTTCTGCAAGCATTTGTGCCTCTTTAAGCTTTAATTCACTCTCCAATTTGTTCAGCTTTGTTTGTTGCTCACGCATCTGTTGCATTGCCTTTGCCTGCTCTATCTTGGCTGCAAGGTCAGCTCCTGCATCTGCTCGTCCGCTAGAAGATCTTGAGGTGGCTCTTGAGCTTGAGTCTGACCCTTGTTGTGACTCTGAAAAGGCAGTCTCTGTTTCTGTGTTTCCAAAGACTGACTCGTACTCCTCTTTATTAAGTAACATCCTAACTCTTTCCTTCTCAAGTCGATCATTAAAGATTCCGTCTATACTCTCTAGCTGTTTACAGATTTCAGCTGTTAAAGTGACACATGCACCCATTCTCTTAACAACATCTGCGGTAGTGGAATGATTGCGGAAAATGAACTCATACTGTTGGTGTAGTAATGCTTCTTTGGCTTTAATCTCTTTCAGTCTTGTGTTAAGGTCTTAAGTTGAGCAGAAATTCTTTAACTGCGTCCTAATTTCCTTTGCTATCTCCTTCCAAGAATCAAATGCATTGTTAAATGCAATTTCATTTCATGTTTCTTTGTGCATTTCTTGGCCTTTTTCTGTTAAGCTGCAATCTCTTGAGTTGGACCGCACCTGTTGCTTCTGTGTGGGTTTGTCTGTTTCTTCAGCACGTGACAACATTTTGTACTAGTATGTCTTTGCCTTTCAAGTGTATGTGTCTCCTCACTTTTGGATGAGTGTTGGCTTAAACTTGCTATTTGAACTACGACTGAAAACAGGCATTACACTTGTAAACTCATAAAGATTAGCAAACAATGCATACAACACAACAAAATGTTTTAAACAAAATATACTGCCGATGCTTTCTAACCAGACAATTTACCCTTTAATTTACCCTTTAAGTAATTAAACAACAGTTTAGTGGTTAGGAACTTAGGAGATAGCGTTGCTTACAATTTCACACTAGGCCTCTTAACATGCCCTCATATCACAAATACAATAAACTTAATCATTGCTATAGTGAAATCTCAGTAGTTGGGCTCGCATACTAATTAAGGGTGGCTTCTGGACCGCATATAAAACAGCCACTATATTTACATAAGTCCACGTGACACTTTTACTTTTCAGCTGATTTTCTGCTAGCAAGATTTTCTCACAGTTTGATAAAGACGGCAACGCAGCAGGTGATGGCAGAGATGCAGCGCTGAGTCTTCGTAGCGTCATGTTTTCACTGTAGCGCCGCTTTGGCATCAAGTAAAGAAAGAAGAGGAGAGCTTCTGACAGGTGCAGTAATTTATTCTTTGCATCAGAAATGTGCATATATCTTTAAACACCTTGAGCAATGTGAAACCGTAAGCACCATAAGCACCATTAAAACTGTAATAGGACATACAGAGTTTCACCAAAAGGGTTACAAACAGGATTACAAATGTGGAGTTCAGATATCTGCATACATCGATATTACATCAAACATCTGAGGAATACAAACTATATACAGAGATTTTGACTGTAGTACTTTCATACAAACGTTGGCTTATATACAACATATCTTTTTAACTAATGGCATGGACACAATTAATGTCTAAGAACATATGTACTTTTATAAACATGCACTTTTACAGCGGACCTCACTCCTCTTGCAAAGGGGTGCAACTTTAGAAAAACCTTGATAACAAGCGCCTTCCCATGAGGTGCTTCTAGCTTGCTTTGCATCTGAAGGCTGAGTCACAGAGAGCTTTTGCCAGAACTAGAGGAAGGAGGGGTCTGATGATCAAACATTCCCTGGGGAAACAAGAGGAAGGCAGAAAGGTTCCACCTGTGGCAGTCAGTCAGGAACAAAGATTTAAAGTTATAAGCAGACACTTACATACACTTAAATAGAGTGGCCTTTTAACCCCTTAAGACCGGAGGGCGTACTATTACGCCCTATTCTAAGCGGCTCTAAACGCCGCCGGGCGTAATAGTACGCCCTCCGGTCTTTCGGTACTTACCCGATCGCGGTGGGGGGGACTCCCAGGGAGCCCCCCGCGGCACGTCCATCCTCCTCGAAGCCCCCCGGCCATGTGAGAGTGGGGTCCTTGCGTGGACCCCACAATCACATGGCCGGGGGTAGCTGCCTCCTGCATTGCCAGCAGGGGGGCTGCCTGTAATGACAGGTGGTCCCCATGCTGGCTGAAAATAAAATTAAAATAAATAAATAGTGTAAAAAAAAAATAATATATACTTAGATCATATATATATATATTATATATATATATGATCTAAGTATATATATACACATATACATACACACACGTACACCGTCTAGGTGTATTTTACTATTAATATATATATATATATATATATATATATATATATATATTAATATCAAATTACACGTAGACTGATACTGATAAAATATATATATATATAATTATTGTTATATATATATTTATATATAATATAAAAAATAAAAATGTAAATACGTTAAAAAATAAAATTTAAAAAATAATTGAAAATAAATAATTAAAAAATATATAGATGTGTGTTATTTCGTTCTAACTGTATTGTGAAATTAATATATATATATATATATATATATATATATATATCAAAATACACGTAGAACGAAATAATATATACCGTATTTATCGGCGTATAACACACACTTTTTCTCCCTGAAAATAGGGGAGAAATTGTGGGTGCGTGTTATACGCCGGCCCTTTAAATACTGCAGCCGCCTGAGCGCTCTGTCAAGAGCGCTCAGGCGGCTGCAGTTGGTACTCACCTCCCCTGTAGCGTGGCCGAGCCGCTCTGCTGTCCGCGGTGGCCGGCCGGAGGATAGGAAGGTGCACGCTCAGTGTGCACCTTCCTATCACTCCGGCCGGCCACCGCGGACAGCAGAGCGGCTCGGCCACGCTACAGGGGAGGGGGGTAAGAAGGGGGTGAATAGAGGGGGAGGGGGGTAAGA